ATACACTGAATTTTGCAACATGACAGAATTTCAGGTATTAGATGGCAAAGAGACACCAAACTACATATCTATTTAGAAAAAACCTGCTTTACTTATCTTTAGAAAAGCTGGATGAAAGTGCATCGAAAAGAAATGTATTTACTGACATACCCGTGGCAACATAGGAAACCTTACTGGTATTGATCATCCATTAAAACATTAGGGGGGAAAAAAAGGAAGATGTTCTTTAAGTTTGGAATTGCATATGGGTATTCATCCACATAGCAATGCTACAGATATAAAACACCATAATAGGATTATCCCAGAAAATTTCATAGTAAAACCCGTTCAATTATCCAAAAACAATTAATGACTGCAAACTCTCTGAGACTCAAATAATGCACATATATTATAGAGGGCAAGAGTTATAGCCTGGCATTTAAGGTAACACTAAGAGACTTAAATGCAGCTCAACACATGCTGCATATTGCTCTGTCATTGTTTTTATTGTGCTGTTTGGGTACTAAGGGAGGAACATTAAGGGATTTAATCCCCATAGTCATTATGAAGATATGTATCTTTTACACAAAAGGATCTAATTAAAAGGAAAAAAAAAAAAAAGGACCATTGGATAACACACCCACTTTTATACAAATTCTAATGACTTTAGGTTCTTTGGCAGAGTAATTGTCACTCCCAGCTTCTAATCCAGGTGGTTATTTGTTTTAAAGTGCTGGTCTTGAATTATGCAGTTTTCTTTCACACGTGTTTTCCTTCAGGCATCAATAATAAGAGATAAGTTCTCTTATTTATCCTTCCGTACAAATACAACCCCTACACTGAAAAAATAAAAATCTCAAACATCTATCTGCATCAACAGACTACTCATCATTTTTGTGGCCCTCCTCTGTACCTGCTCCAACAGGTCCATGTCCGCCTTAATGTAGTGTGTCCTAGAGTTGGACACAAAACTCCAGGAGGGATCTCATGAGAGCCGAGCAGAGGGGGAGAGTCACCCTTCTCAGTCCAGTAGTCACATTACCTTTGATGCAGCCCAGAATACATTTGGCTTTCTGGGCTGGAAGTGCACATTGCTGGGTGATGTCCAGCTTCTCATCCATTGGTATTCCCAGTACCTTCTCCAGTGCTTTCAATCCATTCATCCCCCAGTGTCTACTGACACTGGACATTGCCTCAAGCCAGGCGCAGAACAATTTTAAACATCATGATGTTTGTACATGCCAATTCCTCACGCCTGTCAGGGTTTTCTGGATGGCATCCCTTCCCCTGGATCAAATGAACCACTCAGCTTGATGTCACCCATGAGCTTCCTGAAGGTACACTCAATCCCACTATCTATGTCATTAATATATTAAATACTATACGCCCCACTCAGCACTCATTGCAGTCATACAACTCCTTGCCATCTAATAGTCCATCCATCAAATCCACATCAATTTAGAGGCAAAAGCATTGGAAGGACAGTATTAAAGGCTTTACAGAATTGACATCACTTACCTTTCCTTTGTCCCTGATGCAGTCACTCCATCATAGGCAGCCACTGGATTAGTTGGGCATGATTTGCTCTTGGCAAAGCCATGTCAGCTGGCTCTAATCAGCTTCATACCATCACCCCTCATATGCTTTGACATGACTTCCAGCAGGACCTGATCCATGATCCTGTTGGGCACAAAGGTGAGGCTGACTGGCCAGCAGTTCCCAGGGTCTGGGTGTGATCCCTTCCCTTCAGTGCCTGAGATAGTTACAGGTAGTCAGTGGCACTCCAGTCACTGAATGGCAGTCACAGTCTGATTATCAAGGCTTTTCAAATATGACGGAGACATGGCTCTGCCACTACAACTGCCAATTCCCTCAGAACCCCAGGATGTTTCTTAGACTAAAAGTAACATCATATGTATTCCAAATCATCCCTGTATTTCAAATCATTATGCACCTACTTGACATTCTTTTCTTTTCCATTCTCTTGTTGCTGTTGGCAAACAGACTTTAATGGGATTTTGATAAGAAAATTTCAACAGAAGCAAAAAATCAACACTACAAGTTTTTTCATAGATTTAATATTTATGTTATTTTCATAACAATTTTGCTGGAGGAGAAAAAAATGTAGGATCAGAGGATGGAAAGATCATAAGGTATAATGGTTCTATGACAGCAAGACAGCCTGCAGTTAAATCTTTGTGCCCTTGAACTACATTCTCCTCCTGCATGTAGGTGCATGAATACCCACGTGGTGGAACAACACCACGCTGGCAAAGCAGATCTCACACTCCCCTCTAGTGACAGAGTACAACCTCCCGAGGCCTCCCGTCAGCCTGGACAGCTCTGCTGCTAACACAGCTGCTCCCAAGAGGATCCCACATAATTACAGCTGGGGCTCTTAGTTTTATTTTAAAGTAGGATTAACACTAAGTTAAAATACCTAATTTTAGACATGATAGAATTTTTGGTGGGCTACTATATTGCCAGTATATTTGCCCCTTGTGCTCATGATTGTTTTACATCAATTTTCATTATGAAACCATATGTGATTAGTGTAATTAATGTGTGCATTGCAGCATTCATGCACCGAGGTTATCATGTCTGTCCACGTGTCCTTGAATTCTACACATCCTTTTATTGATTCTTTTCCTGCAGTGACCATGCAATCAGCACAAGCCTGGAATTACCATCTTAAAGTGTTTATCTCTAGATACAATTTTTGTTTGGACATATACTACCTTAACACAGTGCCTGAGAAAAAAACAACTCCATAGCTGCTGAAACAGCAGCCTGCTGACACATGATGCTTGGAACATATTTTCTGAGGCACCATTTATCATTGTCATCACAGTGCACAACAACTTATTACAGTAAATTGCTCTTGCATATCACAACCTTAAAAAGACAATGCCAACTCATACTTGTGTTATTAGGAGATTGCAGTAATCTTAAAATAAATTAAAAAATAAAATCTATACATACTACTGAGGGAACATAATCATCATAAAAACTATTACTTGCCTGCTTTATAACTACAGCCACTATAGCTCATTACATGTCTGCAGTAAAGGAATACTTTGCTTCCTACAAGCATTTGGGAGTCCTCAAAACACTCTCAGGTGAGAAGAAACAGCAAGAAACAGATTAACTCTGTAAGCCCTAAAACTTCAGAAACATTCACCTATCTATCAATTTGCAGAAAGAGGGATGCCACCCTCCTTCTCTCCAAAATCACAGCCCTTCCTTTGCTTTATGCCTATCACCTGGCAATTTATAGTCCAGGAATTTTGTGGGCAGGTAGAGATTACAGTTTATTGTTAGCATACCAAAATTAGTAAAATATACTGACCTGCTGGAAGCATAGCAGCTCTAAAGAAGGCAAAAGGAAAAGGATTCAGTAGGACTGGGAATTGTCATTCAGCTCAGTTTCTAAAAAAAGTAACATGTTTCTGACCACTGGGTTTTAAGCAGCTTCCAGAACAGATCCAAACCCAAAAATACAAGGTACAAGAAATACCCAAAATATGCAGCACACAATTAAAGCAGCAGAGAAAGTAGTTTCTCCTATTCAGGAGATGAAAAGATACAGAATAAATTAAGATCACACAAAGTTTGGTAATACCCCAGAGGGACAGAATCTAAATGCAGTCTTCCTGATGAGACACATCATTCACAGCTGAAAAAAACCTGGCAGAAAGAAGTTAGTTGGAAAAAAAGTTGAGAAAGGCTGGAAGACTTTAATAATGGTGAAGAGGTCAATTTAACTAGTTAACTTACTGTTCCTGCAGTGGGGTAGAGTGCAGAACAATTAAGTCTTATCATTACTAACTTTTTAAAATGCTGCATTTTACTTTATGGTCTAAATCATACGGACTGAAACAAAAAGGATGGGAGGGTGAGCTATGTAGAAGGAAAGAAAAAAACAAACCAAACCAAAACCCCACCAATAAGCCAAATCAAAAACAAATAATGGCATAAAAGCTGTAGCTTGTGCTAGGTCCAAGTTAAAGTCAATGTGTCTTGGGCCACCACTTATATTTTTGAAAAGGGTTCACATTGTGAAGTCAAAATGGCAAATTATCAGCCTACATAACCTCAGTGTAAGGACTGCTAGTAGATTTTAATGGAAACTGCCTTATATACTTGTGATAATCCTACTTTTTCCACCACTTCCAAAGTTATTATTTTAAATGTGCATTTCACGGTTAAACACAATTTATCTGGAACTGTCCTATAAGTGACAATTCTTATATGTTGGCCTAATTACTGACCTGATTCTGTAGATGTAAAAGTTTAATGTCAGAACAACCAGTAAAAGGCAGACTGGATTTAAAACAGAAAGGAAGGGTAATTGCAGTATGAGTTACTTCTTCAGGAACACTCGCCTATCGAATGACAGCTTTGACATCACAGCCATTCTTTTTGCTAATTGCTGTCACCCTGTTTTTACTAGCAAAGCAGTACTTTTCAGGAGAGGTTGTTTCCCTCACCTAGCTTTCCATGAAGCTGCATAAGCGTTAACAGCACTACTAACAGCAGTGTTGCAGCATTGTGGTTTTCTTAATTTTTGTGTAAGGTCGGTGTAGTTTGTTAGAGCATTAAAGGTCTGATAAAAGGTTTGTATGATACAGACGTGAGCGCCAATTTAGAAACCTAGAAAGTCCGACCAAAATAAGAAACAACTGAAGACAAGAGGCCAAACTAACTAAGGTAGCTTAATACAAAATCAGTCCGACGTTTTAAACACAGCTGCCCTTCATGAATTTGTAAGTCACAAAATCGAGGTAACATGGGCCACACCACCCGTGTCTGCGGCTCCGCAGAGATGCCCCACACTGAGAGCTCAGCCCCGCAACCCCTAAGCCGCTGTGTCCCGAGCACCGGCCAGCCTCGGAGGCTTTAACTTTCCTGTCTCGCCTGCGGCAGCCGCTCCAGCCCCGCCGAGCCGGGGCAGGCGGGGGCGCTGCGGCTTTAAGAGCGACCCGCGCACCGGGCCCGCGGTGCGGCCCCGCCCCGCGCAGCGCGGCCGCGCATGGGCGGATGGGGATCCGCGCTCTTGGCGCGGCGGATGAATCCGGGGCTCGGCAGGCCGCGCCCGGAGCGCGGGGCTCTCACGGGCCGCTCCGCCCATGGCCTCCCCGCTGGTAAGGGCTCGGCCCCGGCCCCTGGCGACGGCCGCGGCAGCCAGGACGGCAGGCAGGCAGGCAGGCGAGCCGCGGCCGGAGGGTATCGCCCGGTGCCGAAGGCTGCCCGGCGGCCGCCCCCGCTGGCGGAAACGCTCCGGACGCCGGCACCGGCGGCTCCCGCCGCGCGCGGGGCGTTAGCGGCCCCTAAGGGGCGGGGGAGGGTGAGTGCGGCCGCCCCCGCCCGCAGACTGACGGTGCGCACCCTCTCCCCAGGAGGACCCCGTCCTGATCCGGCCTTTCCGCGGCCACACGGCGGCGGTGACGGGCGTCGCCTTCGATGCGAACGCGGCGGAGATGGGTGAGTGCGGGGCCGGGCGCCGTTTGCTTTCCGGGCGGGGCAGCCCGCTCCCTCCTCCCTCTTTCCCTCCCCGGAGCCGCCCGGCGGTTCCGGCCGCAGGTCCGGGCGCGGAGGCGGGGCGGGCTCCCGCGCCTTCGGGCGGCCTAAGAAGTCTCTTCCCCTTCCTTAAGCGACAACTTTTTGAGCAAACCACAAGGCTGGAGGAGGGGTTTGTCCCGCGGAGAGAGAGGAGGAGGAGGAGGAAGTAAGTGAGGGGAGCGCCGCGGCCGGAGGGGCAGGGGCTGCTCCGTGCCTCCGCTGCCGCCCCTCTCCCCCGCGGTCCCCCGGGAATCTACCGGGCCCACCACGGAGGGCTGGCTGCAAACTCTGCCGGCGTCCCGAGCCCGAGTGCCTGCAGCCCCATCCTCCCTGGGGGCGTGGGAGAGCCGGCAGGAGTTGACGGACTCCTCTCTGCTAAAGAGCTGCTTTTAACTATCTAAAATGAGGATTCGCCTGGCGAGAAGATGGACGTGGATCCGCAAAAGCTGCGTGTTCCTCGGCTTCTTAATGATCGCTTACTTTGTGGTCGAGCTGTCCGTTTCTTCCTTCGGTGTCTCCCTCGCCGGCAAGAGCATCACTAAAGGGAAATGGGAGAGGCGCTTTTCTGACGGGGCAGAAAAAGATGTCGATTTGGCTCGTCCAGTTTATGACAAACCCCCACCTGATCCTTATGCTCCAGGAGAATGGGGTAAACCCTCTCGCCCCCAGCTGAGTCCTGAGGAGCAGAAACAGGAGGAAGAGCTGATTGAGAAGTATGCAATAAATATTTATTTAAGTGATAAAATTTCTCTCCACCGGCACATTGAAGATAATCGACTGAGTGGTTGTAAAACTAAATCTTACAACTACAGAAGACTGCCCACAACATCTGTTATAATTGCTTTCTACAATGAAGCCTGGTCAACACTGCTGCGGACGATACATAGTGTTCTTGAAACATCACCTTCAGTGCTTCTGAAAGAAATTATACTGGTGGATGACCTGAGTGATAAAGTGTATTTGAAGGCTGAACTCGAAAAATACATAAGCAGTCTGAAGAGAGTTCGCTTGATAAGAACCAACAAGCGAGAAGGATTGGTTCGTGCACGCTTGATTGGTGCTACCTTTGCTACCGGTGATGTTCTCACATTCCTCGATTGTCACTGTGAATGCGTTTCTGGCTGGCTGGAACCACTGCTTGAGAGGATTGCTGAGAATGAGACTGTTATTGTGTGTCCTGTCATTGACACCATTGACTGGAAGACATTTGAGTACTACATGCAAACGGCAGAGCCCATGATTGGGGGGTTTGACTGGCGGCTGACGTTCCAGTGGCACTCAGTGCCTAAACATGAACGTCTCAGGCGCAAGTCGGAAACTGACCCAATCAGATCCCCAACTATGGCTGGTGGCTTGTTTGCTGTCAGCAAGAAGTATTTTGAGTACCTGGGGACCTATGATACAGGAATGGATGTTTGGGGAGGGGAGAACTTAGAATTATCATTTAGGGTTTGGCAGTGTGGAGGCATGTTGGAAATTCATCCATGCTCCCACGTGGGCCATGTGTTTCCAAAGCGTGCGCCCTATGCTAGACCAAATTTCCTTCAGAACACAGCACGTGCTGCTGAGGTGTGGATGGATGAGTTCAAAGATCACTTTTACAACAGAAATCCTTCAGCAAGGAAAGAAAACTATGGAGACATTTCTGAAAGAAAGGTTCTTCGGGAGCGTTTGAAATGCAAGAGTTTTCACTGGTATTTAAAAAATGTATTTGCTGAGTTGCATGTACCAGAAGATCGCCCTGGCTGGCACGGCGCTATCCGCAGCGCAGGAATACCTTCAGAGTGCCTTGACTATGTCTTACAGGAACATAATCCTACTGGGTCTCACCTTTCTCTCTTTGGCTGTCATGGTCAGGGAGGCAACCAATTTTTTGAATATACATCAAATCAGGAGATTAGATTTAACTCTGTAACTGAGCTATGTGCTGAAGTCCCTGAGCGTGAAGATTTCATAGGTATGAGGAGCTGCCCAAAAGATGGATCTCCTGTCCCAGAAATTATTATCTGGCACTTCAAAGAAGATGGGACTATTTATCATCCTTATTCAGGGAAGTGCCTTACTGCTTATCGTACGACTGAAGGGCACGCTGATGTGCAAATGAGAACTTGTAATGCTGGAGATAAAAATCAGGTTTGGCAATTTGAGAAATAATCACTGCTGCTAGTATGAATTGGATGGACTGTGGTCTCCAAGCTTTTTCACGTGTGAGCAGATAGCAATGTTTGATCAAATACCTTGACATGTTTTCACATCCGTCTGTAGAAACTGTCTACTATGATGAACTGTATGGAAAGCAAAAGTAAATAGTGGGGTTTGGTTTCTAAAACATGGATTAGAACATCGAATGCCTTTTATTTTTGTACAATTTTGATCCATTATTACTTTCCTCAGTTTTGATTATAAAACAAAGGCTTCTGAGGGGACTGAAGAGGGATTTTTTTTAATCTTAAAACTATGCAATAATCGTGCGAGATAATGTTCCACGTAAACAGAAAATTTTTACTTACAGAACTAAAAGTTAAGGTTCTTGCAGTGGTAGCAGTGATGTTGCAGATACATTATAAAATATGTATTTAACACCCTAAGTAATGCTACAGTAGCATGTGATTGAATGGACGTTGATGTGGAAAGTTGAATCTAAGCCTTGTAATGGTCTGCATTTTTCTGGGAATGTACACGCTGTTAAGGGTACTATATTTTACAGAAGAGTAGGAAGTTTATTTACTAGAAGGGCTTTGGCACTTCTTTGCAGTCTTGTACCTATTGTAAAAATCTTAACCCATGGGGCTTCGTCAGGAGCTCTCATGCATTTAGAGGAGAGTGTGGTAGCAGTGCAACCAAGGACATGCTGGTGATATCACAAATGGAAGAAATAGGGATGGCTACAAGTAAGAATTTTGTTTAAAGGCAATGGAGAAGGAAAGGAATCACAAAATTGCCTTAGCTACTGCTGATTCTTAGCTGTATATTTAATGTATACATTGCTTCTGTGTAAGCTTTTCCATGTTCAGCTCCATGTCTTAGGGGTACAAAAGTTATGTGATCTAGACCATGTTTGGGTTTTTTGTTGTTGGTGGTTTTTTTTTTCATTTGATCTGTCAGCATGGTAGAGAAAGGTAACATAGAGGAACATTTGGGCTGTTTTATTTGGCTTTTTGTGTTTTGGCAACAGCTGGCATGGGTCAGCCCTAGGAAGAGTTTTGAAATAATACAGCATATGCTGCCTGTTTCCAGTCAAAACAATACCACTGGAGACCTTGGGTAATACTGGGGAGCTGAAGTTTCTGACATGACGGGAGCTGAAAAGACAAAGGACAGTTTGGAAGAAACTAAGATTTATTGGTGGTTCAAAGAATTACTTATTTAGAATGTTTTCTTTTTTCTGTTATCCTGAGTTTTTGAAGAATACTGATTCTCGAATTAGTGATCTTGATTAGTGTCACTAATATGTTTTGATTATGATTATAGATGGTAGATGTGATAGATATATTGTGTACTTGAAAAAAAATTTTGCATTAGTATCTGTATTTTAGTTTCATAAGATTTAAGTTGAACACTTTCCTTAATGTGTTGGGCATTCCAGCTGTTTTTATTACTCTCACTGAAGTGATAAATGTTTTTCAGTAGCCATAGTGTAGTAAGTCTTTACATGGGGCTGGTAGGTAGAAACTTAAGCTAGTGAGCATTAGTTATCTGGACATTTGAGGACTGTAGTGGATCTGGATTTGCTATAGGTGTTAGTAGGTAGAAGGGTTAAAAAGGGACAAGTGAGACCTGATGTAGTTGAAGTTTTGCCAAAAATAAAGTAAGAATAAGTTACAACATATTCTTAAATCTTTGTGCCTTGAAAGCTTTGAGAGGTTTGGGTGGAAACAGGTTAACATAGAAGATGAACAGAAGAAAATTTGGAGCTTGGAGTGAAGCATTGAATGATGCTAAAAATGCTTGCCACTGTGTGGCATGGATTCTTTTCAGACTTTAATTTATTGTTAGGCAGTTACTTGCAATTTGGTTTTTTTTCCCTTTTTTTATCTTCCTTTTTTCCCCTAAGTTGGTTTTTTGCTGTTGTTGGTTTTTTGTTTGTTTGTTAAAAAAAAGGGAACTTGGTACTACATAAGGGAAGCATTCCTGAAAAATTGCATTCCACTTTGCAGCAGGAATTCTTTTGTGTACTTACAAGTTATGAACCATTTATCGAATTTTAAAAGGCAGCCAGTTGTTATGTACTGGGGCAATAAATTATATAAAGTATATGCTTTTGTGGAAAGCTTTCTGTAGGCTGTTAACATTCAGTAGAAATGACAGGAAAAAGGCCTAGGTTCTCTTATGTGGCAGATCATAAATAGTATGTGCAATGCATGTTTCTTCAGATGAAAGTAATGATGTGAATACAGACTATGCAAATTTTATACAGTTAATTTTTTAGCACTTGGCAAAAACTGCTTTTTCTATAAAGAAATACCTTCAAGTTAAACCTGACATTTGAAAGTGTTCCTTATCTATTTAAGCAATAATTATAAGTGAATCTGCCTCTGTGTTTGAAAAGTTATTCTTTCTGTGTATCTGAACCCTTCCTCCTCCCCATGACCTCCCTTTCTGTTTTTGGAGTTATTTAGAAACAAACTGGGGAGAAAATAAAAAAAAATTACCTGCCTTTAAAAAAAAAAAAAAAAAAAAGAAAAAAAAATTTAAAACCTTCCCAATGGGAATAAAAAGCATGTGAATAAAAGGAGGAGGGACTAGAGAAAGGGAGAGAAACAAAGTAGAGAAAAATAAACAATACCTTACCATTTCAATGTTTCTATCCAATTATTTTTCAGTATGTACAGATTTCTGGAAAATCTGAAAATCTGAATAGTTTTCTATTCTGTTAGACTTTGAAGACTTGGTGAATGCTTGTATATATTTTAAACTACTGATTCTAAGTCACTTAAAAGAAATTGAATGTAAACTTAACACTGAATAAATGTGGAGGGCTTTGGGATTTCTTCTGAAAAAATAAAATCCAGAAAATTAAATGTTGCCTAGTGTGCTGACTCTTCTCAGTTCTTTTCCTCTTGTGTACATGCATACAGAATGCAACAAAAACTGCCAATAAGCTGAATTTATGGAAGTTATTAAAAGTTCTTCATATTTTATCCACTGTGCTTAGAATTCCAGATTGGCTTTTTTTGACAGAGGTTCAATTAATAATAGTTTTTCTCCAAGCAGGAAATCTTGCAATTCATTGCAAAATGTGTTTACATTGTGACGTTGTACTGTATCATTGAGAGCTGCAGGGTTCCTGTGAAGTTGGGGGTTTGTTGGCAGTGGTAGGGGTTTGAATATTCACACACCCGTCATGTGCATTGTATTCCATCTGCCTTGTAATTCTTGCACTGAGTGATTAATTGTATTGGAGATGCTTCAGTATTTTGAGGGATGTACATTGAGCTGTTAAAGCCTGTCTGAGTTTGTCTCTTTTGATCTTTGCACAACTTTCTTAGTCACCACTTTGTTATTGTGGGAAATGAGAGTGAAATGGTAATTCTGTATTACAGCAACTAGTGTTCATATATTTGTGTGTGTATATATAAAAATGAATACCATCAATAGTCACAATTCATAAATTGAACTTTGTCTCATTGCAAAGACCATAAAATCCTTTTCATGGCATATGTGAAGCTTAGGTATCTGCTTACACACCACTTTGCTGTAGATCTCTCAACTTGGTCTTTGCATAAGGCCAAGTCTTTATTTTTTGGTGTTCAGTTCTGTAATGACTCATCAGCAGAAAGGCAAATTATCCAGTGATGTGTCTGCTATATGTGGGTGTGTACAGCGTTGATTTTAAAAAAGAAAAGGCACTCAGGTTATAAACTGGAGTAAGTTGTATATTGGAGTCAGCTCAGTGTGAATTTTCAGCTTTCTACATTTTAGTTATATTTTTCAGTTGATCATAGCAAGGGCAAATTGTCTTTCACCTGGTTATGTCATGTATTCTCTGAGGAGCAATAGGCCTATTTGTGCTACAACACATCCTGAAAAAATTCTTCTGGACATTCTGTGATTTTTTTTTTTTTTTTTTTTTTCTGATCCAATATTTAAGTATTGCATAGGTGGCAGGGAGTCCAGAGGGAAAATAAGGAAGATGGTCACAGATGTCCCACAGGAAGGAGAACTTCAGGTCACTGCTTGTGTCTCATTTACCTTGGGACAGCCCATCTATGAGACAGCAAACTACAGGAAATCAGGCTCTGAATGAATGGTATTGTCATCTTTCTAAGAATATTTCCCTCAGTTTTTAGAAGTAAAAGCTGATACTGCACAGGTATTTGGTAGTTCATCAACAATTTGTTTTAGAAGCCATCAGTCTTGTCTGTTTCGCATTTCCAGCCCTATGCCTTCAAATTCTATTTTAGCTTATATTTCACTTTTTCCTTTTTGTTTTACTCCACTGTAGATCACTTTTCAGAATCAAAGGGGAAAAGGAATTCTTTCAAGTACAGTTAGAAAGACCCTGCTGTAAAACAGGGTTTTGAAAAGTTGAAGTGGGGGGAAAATATCCTGTATTTCTTTGTCAAATATAGGCCTGTTGATTTGGGCATAGGGATAGTCTGGTCTCACATCTTTTAGCAGAAGCTAGTCTTTTAGGAATAAAACCAGTATCTTTGTAGCAAATTCATAAAGGGAATTTAATAGTTAATATTCTAATATGCTAATATTTTGTTTGAGGCTTGCCTTGACATGTGATAATAAGGAAACTCAATTTCTTTGTGCTGTGTTGGTGTTTGAAAGAAACTGGGGAGAGAAAAGCCATCTTCATGTACTCTTCCAGCTTCCAGGAGGCTATTGTTTTTCCTCTCCCTTCATTTCTCTACTAGGGTTAGTAATTTGACAACTGAGGGATGGGAGTGTGAATACCTTGTTTTTATTTATGCCTATATACTAACATTTAGCAGCAATGAAGATGATGGGATGTAGGAAAATCGCATGTACCAGTTTAATTCAACTGCCTGTTGTCTTTGCTTCTTATAGTTTCCTGAAAATGATCAAGCTCTGGTAAAAGTTAGGTTTTCCTTTTTGACTGTAGATAGTATAGTTCACCTGTAAAGTGACTGCAAAAAACCCACCCTCAGGCATGCTCTATTTTCAGACTGGAAACTTTGTTCTCTTTTGAACTAGACAAACATGAGTATTATAAAATTGATACTTAAATAGGATTAGCGAATTATCATATATCAATATCGTCACTCAAGTGTAGGTATCTAAGTGTTAGAAGTCATGTCTTCAGTTTAAGTTGGCATGTTTTTTTGGAGTTAAACACTTGATACTGGAAACAAATTCCATCTCAGAGATCAAAATGAGATTACTGAAGAATTTGCCTATTGTTCTTAGGATTTGGTGAAACCAAATCTGGATTCATACTTACTGACGTGCATGGTGTTCAGCTTTGGATGTTTTGCTCTCTATCATCAAAGTACTTGTAAGCCAGTTGGCTTAGTATGTGAGAGAGCTACCTGTTAAGAATTATCCTTTACTTCTCCAAGACTTGTCTTGCAATGTCCTTCTGAGAGCCTGGTGTAGGTGTTACTTGCTACCAGGCTTCTGCTTAGGCTAAGTATCCATTAAAGCCTAGTAACTCCTCCCTCCCGTAATAACCATTAAGTTCTCTGGTTGTTCTAACTAACAACCCATAGTTGTTAGCTCTGACTTTCATAAGAGCAGTGAGCAGACTCCTAATGTCTTTCACTTCTTGCAGTTACCTGCTCTGTGGATAGGCTTCTCATATTGTGGAAGCTGAAGACACGGTGCAGCGCTTACAGATTTTCAGGCCATGCGGAAGCGGTGACAAGTGTAGAGTTCTCACCAGATGGGCAGGTGCTGGCTTCAGCTTCTCAGGATCACACTGTCAGGCTGTGGATTCCTTGCATGTGAGTATAACTGAGCAATGCTGGATATGTGTTTCATTATTGTGCAGTGTGAATATTGGACACTTAAGTTTCTTTTTCCTTCCCACATGCCTGGGCTTTGACAGAATCAGAGACTGGGGACCACAAGCAACATGGTTCTTTACTGTATTACTTTGTTCTTTTCTGAATATTCTGTAGTTTCAAAAGAAAAATGTAACAACTCGGAAGTCACAATTTCATCTGTGTAGAGCTATGCTTTATAATATTTCTCTGGCTTAAAGATTATATTTTAATAAGGATTGCATGGCTGCACTTCATTTTGGGGAGACAAGTGATGAAGAAAACAATAGTTTTTGGGAAAAAAAATTAATTTACTTGCTTTATCAGACTGTTCTTTAGTAGTAGTAATTATGAGTAATTCAGTATGATCTTAGACCAATGTTACTTGAACTTTCAAGCATTTTATAGAGTACTGTGTAAAATATTCTCTTTCTAATGCTAATGAGACTAAAGGCCATTGCTGCTACTTAATTGCACTGTTCTGTAAAATTGGTCATCTTAAATGCAACTTAAGGAATGTTATTTTAATAATATTTAAATAAGTAAAAAGATAATGGTGGCATTAAGATTTGGCCTCTGTTTACTGCTTTTTCACTTGGGTAAGATTCTAAATATGCCAAAATTGATTTTTATGGGTATTTAAGCTCTATAATATAATTGTGATTTGTGACTTGACATTTGGGGTTTTGTTTCATTTTCTTTGCTCCCCCCTTAGTCATGGAGAATCATCAGTGCTGAAAGGTCATACAGCATCTGTTCGGAGTGTGAGCTTCTCCCATGATGGCTACTCTCTAGTTTCAGCATCCAATGATAAATTAGTAAAAATATGGAGTGTTAGCTATCAGCGCCTTTTGTCTACCCTATTCCGACACACTGGTTGGGTTCGCTGTGCCAAGTAAGTGTTGTTTTTATTCTCTTGGTAAAGTAGAATTCCTAACAAAGGGGATTTTATATCCCAGGGTAGAAATAAGAGAAGAAACGTCTGTGAATGACAAACAATGATCTCAAACCAGTAATTAAATTTTAATAAATGAATCTTATGCACAGATGTTTTTTATAGACCTAGGTGAAGTATGAAAGTTTGCTCTATGTTAATATGTGTACGTGCTAAATCAGTTGCTGTCTTCGTTCTACTACATTAAAGGACAAATGGGGTCCTCTGTATTTATTTTCAGTCAGCATCCTGTCTTTCCCCTGTTTTGTTTGGTTTTTTGTTGTATTAACTTATTTCCCAGCACTCATGTCTAGATTTATCATGCCTTGTAGGGGTTTTCTCAACTATTCTTGGAATAGTAGTGGCATTAAAGAATGGTCATGAATCCAGATGAGTTAAGCTTACATAATTGGAAAAGGTAAAAAAAATGGTCTTTGGATTGCCAGTTAGGATTCATACTCTTTAAAGACAGAACAGCTCTTCAAAGACAAGAAAAGATTGTTTATTTTTTAAAATTTTTTTCCTTTCCTCCATATTAATAGAAAATCTGCAGCTAGGAGAGGCCTAGATATAAGCTTCTTGAGAAAGGAGTTTAACACTAGTGAAGTGCAGACCCCTACAAAGTTTCAAAGTATCTGATTGTTAAAAAGAAAAAGCTCTAGGAAATCACATGTGAAAGTTCTTGAGCAGTTTTTCAATGTCATTGTGCAGGTGCTCAATAAGTGAAATAATAATGACCGAGGAAGTTACAGGCGAGTCAATTTTTCTCTTCAAAAGCCTGGTCTGCTAGTCTAGGAATAATTGTGAGTGCTTTACCCACTATTTGTAAGTTTAGAAAGAGCTCAGAGAACATAAATATAGGTTAACATTGAACACAAGAGTCTACTGTGTCCTCTTTGTCCTTTTACCTATAGTTTTCTATAATAATCTCTGTCATCTGAAGTGATATCCTTAGGTTGTTGATACCTTTCCCCGAACCCCCTCTCCTCTTGCTTATGGCTTTGTTTTTAATTGTAGTTGATTGTGAAATGGGCTAGAGTGGAATAGAGGGAGAAGCTTTTCTTTTCAGTTTTATTAATCCATGAAAAATACTAGAAGTTCAAATGTCCTTTGAATGCTATGCATCCTTATTTCAAACAGCCTTCCTTGGTTCTGTTTTTTTGCTGCTTATGTCTCTAATGCTAATCTAGGCAGAATCAGTTCTTAAGTAATGTATACACTTGCATGTTCCAGATTTTCACCTGATGGAAGAATAATAGCATCATGTGGTGAGGACAAATCTATTAACATCTGGGATACAAGACATAAAAATTGTGTTAATACCTTCTCAGATTATGAAGGGTAAGTTTTACTAGAAAAAAAGGAGAAATGTAATAATGTAATTTTACTGGCATTAATTTAATGTTCTGTGGTATTAACATCTATATATGTTAAATCTGAAAACAGATCAGAATTCTACAACCCATGTCAACTAAAAGAATTCATATAATGTTTTTCTAAAGAGGTTAACTGGCTGCACTTATGCAGCTGTTTTCCAGCAATCAAAAGATAATTCAAACAGATGTGAGATTATTCTTGGATTTTGGAATGTTTCCATGTTTTCCCTCAATTTTGATAATGCTATTTGATATTGGATGCTTCAACAAGAAGAAAGCTTGAAGACTTTTCCACCAGTTGATGAAAAGAGTATTTTGTTTCTTTCAGTGATCTGCCTTATTTAAGTTTAAAAAATACTTGCTTTTATGTATATGCACTTTTCTTAAACATCTTGGATCCAGAGTATTAGTTAACAAGTCAGTGGAATATTTATCTTCTATATGTGCTTTGCTGATTTCATGGCTACCTTCATCCTTTTTGAGTCCAAAGTATTGTCAGTTCTTAGACAAAATTATTTTATTTCTTGCTTGCAAACTCTTTGCAGCACTATCTTCCAGGAACTTCGTACTCTTGCACAAACTCTGAAGGTTTGACTTGGATCAATTATACTGTATTTTCAACAAAAGTGAGCTTATGATTTATCACGTACATCTTGTTTTTTTTATGCTTATTTCAGTTACTTGAAATGCCTTAATTGAGTTTCCATACATGTAGATTCCACACAAGTTCATGACAGCTCAGTGATAATATTGTGGGCTTTATATATGTACACACACCTAAATATTTCTGTGGAAACACATTCTGAATCTGTTTTCATTAATTATATTTAGATTTCCAGCTTATGTGGATTTCAACCCAAGTGGAACATGTATAGCTTCTGCAGGTTCCAATAACACAGTGAAACTATGGGATATTCGAACGAACAAGCTGCTGCAGCATTTCAAAGGTAAAAATAATGTAGTGTGTTTTATTTTCTTTACAATGGGGCTCTTTGCAATTAAATGTGATTTATTAAGAGTATTACTGGGGAAAGTTGACAAACAAGTCATATTGACATGTTGTAAGTATCTTTTTGTAGTCTATCAACCCCAAGAATCCAGCCTGAATTGGTTTTATTTCTTTGCTTCTCTTAATTTTTAGAACTGAACTAAGCAAATACTCTGACAAGTCTTCTATGCCTCAACACTTTTGTTGTTTTCCATTTAAATGAAGTAGTTCTTTGGGAAGTAGAAAAGAGCAAAGAAATAAAGTGTACATATCCTCTTAGACATCTACAGCTTTTGAATATTGTCTTCTGTAAATCAGTTCACAGAGCAGGGGTTAATTGTATATCATTCCATCCTTCTGGTAACTACCTCATCACTGCTTCTTCTGATGGTACCCTTAAGATTCTGGACCTCTTAGGAGAAAGACTTATTTACACTCTTCGTGGACACAAGGTATACACAATAATCCTCTTTAAATGGAGATCTTACTAGGTTGTTCAAGATCTTTACAAAGGGAAAGTAACGTTTATGCTGTTGTGTCTTTTATCTTGCAACTTGCAGATGAAATTTAGTGGACACCAAAGTGTTGTGTTAATGCACCTTGTCACAAGTGGTTAAGGAAATGCATCAGTTTTTACCTGTAACCATGCTTTTTATCTGTCAGTATTACACACCTGATATTAAGTAAAAGCTCATGTTCTGAACTCATTAATAATTCACTTGATTTTCAAAATCATGTTATTTGGTGCTTCAGTATTGAAAAACTATTGTCTATTGAAAAGCAGTGTTTTCTAAGGAGGGGGAAGCTTAAAGAGACTAACTTTTTTGAGGGATGGCAGCATTTCCTTATTTTCCTGTTAATGTCAAACAAAATCCTATTTTTGATGATAATAAATCATTCAAACATATTGCCTTGAGTAATGTAATATATATTTTGTAATTTTTCTTTTCAAAGCTGGAGTATAAAATCTAAGGATAATGCCACTATTTTCCTAGTATAATTTGTTGTAGTTGTAATGTAGCATCTTACTGAAATGTGCAATATTAACTTTTCAATCAAGTTTTGCAGAAATTTCACTACAGTAAAAATGTTCCTTATTTTATTAAAATTGAAAAATCTATTACATCAGGTAATGGCATTGGTGTTTTTCTCTGCACTAAAATATCACGATCGCTGTAATAGCCTAATTTTACTGTGTGCTATTTGTTTTCCAGGGACCTATACTTTGTGTGGCTTTTTCAAAAGGTGGTGAAAAGTTTGCCTCAGGTGGAGTGGATGCTCAGGTTTGTGGTATTGTCTCCTTAAATGAAATGTCTTTGTTTGTTACAGTGGATATAGTTATAATATAGTATGTCACAATAACTTGCTAATTACTCACATGCATTCTGTCTACTTGTGTGTTCTATAGACTTTCCGTGGGATGTTATGATGAGGAGAAGACTAACCACATCTATTTTACATATTAAAATAAAGGAATGTTTTTTAGCTAAGGATATTTAAAGTATTGCAGTTCAGTGCCAATGAAGTAGTTATGATGCAATTAACATTAACTGGCACCTGCTTTGTTAGGTTTTCACTGCTTTTAAAGTCCTTACTCTAATTGTAGGTATTAAGTTGTATTACTGGGAAAACTTTGGCTAAAACTGGGAAAAAAAAAACCCTTGTGTTACCTTTACTAATTTATTTTGGTAAAACAGTAAAGTACTAGATTTTATAAAGGGAAGAAGAGTCATTTGAGCATTTAAAAAAATGTTAAACAGTAAGTCTTGTAATTAATCTCCATCTGTTGTAATTTCATAATTAAGAACAAATGAACAAATACTATCAAGCTTGGAATAATCTCTATGAGGTCTATAAAGTTTCCAAAAAGAAAGAAATTTTGTAGCACAAGATGTTAAATTTTTACTCTGAAATGTTCCTTAGTTGTCTTTTTCATTTTTTCCTGTAACAAACAGCTAAAAGCTCAATGTAGATACAAAAAGCTATGCTGTTGAAATTAAGATCTTTTGAGTTTACCATAATTCATGGCATATATTCTGTTTTGTGGAGTTTGAAATAAATTTCAGCTAGTAGCAGAGGTGGTCTTGGGAAATAAAAAAAAAAAAAATTGCTTTCTATCACCAAGTGTTAAGTAAGTAAGACTTGAAGTTACTGGAAAAGTGAAAATGTTATCAAACATCCAATATTAATTTTACAAGCAGGGAAAAAAACCCACAAAATCTAACCGAGAATGGGAGAAAGATACTTATTTCTTGACCCACTAGAATGATCTTTGATTTTCCGTACTGAAGTTTTAAATAAGATTTTAAGTCCCAAAATGCAACTTAGTCCGACATGATTCTGAATTGTTGACCTTACTTTCCAGCAGTTTTATGAGTTTTTTGAGTTTTATGACTGTTGGTACATTATACTTAACTTGAGAGGAACAAAAGTGCATGTATTCACGTGACAGAAGATTAATCTGAGAAGCTCTGATGAAGGCAAGGACTTACAGCCTAACACAACCTCCCCATTGAATGCCAACACATCCTGGGAATGCCTGTATTACTTCAAAGTTCTTTGAATTTAGAGCCTCCTGAATGACATGTGTGTTCAGTGCAGTCATGTAATTGCGTTTTTCCTGCCCTGATTTTCTGTTGTAAAGCTTCTGGGGCATGAGAGCATGGAGAAAGTAGGTAAAAATCTATGTCTTATGTTCCTCAGCAGTTTGATATAGTGGGTTCATGCTGAATATATGAGAGGGAAGATCCAGTTTCATCAGGAAACACTTCCTTAGTTAAATGTTGAATTTAAAAAGTAGTCATAGCAGATCTAATAACTGTTTAAATTACCTTTAAAATGGGCCTTCCTGTGTTTGTTGAAGTTTTTCCCTTTGTTTTATGAGAGTTTTGGTGGGAGAGGAGTACTTACTTTGCTGCAACTTTCACTTTTCTATGTTTTAAAATATGCTAACCACTGTTGGGTAACTACCAGACATACCGTTTTGCTGACCCATCCACAACCTTCTTCCAGGTGTGCCAGGAGGATGGTTGTGGGACTTCTTCTCAACTCACTGTGATTATTGTTTACTGTAATTGTAGGGTGCATTTGTTGGAAAAGTTCTGCTGGCAATGTCAGGCTTATGAGCAGAGGCTGGCCATAAAAGTATCATCTTCTACCCCTCATGCAGTACCAAAAATATATTGTCTGTTCACAGCATGCACTGGAGGGAGTTGATACACTCTAAGTTTATGGAAGATTGCTTGCTTTGTGCATATATTATTTCAAGACGTTTTCAATCAGCAGATCCTTCCATGCCTTTCCATCAAAGAAGGAAAATCGGTATCTCTGCTTCTTGTTTCAAGTTTCTGGTTGGTGTAGAACCAGCTGACAGTGTTGTTAGAAGCAGGTTAAATATTTGAGACAAACACTGGATACTTTTGTTTCTTTCTATTTGCTTCTTTCCTCAAACAAAAAAGATCTCAAAGTGTAGCCTTCTGTCATGTTCCTCAGTTTTTGGCTGTATGTGCATATTGCAATTTATTTCATTAACCTGTTGCCATGGAAAACATAAGACCTTTTATGTGAAAGAGCAAAGTTACACCTATTTGTTTGGAAAGTAGTAGCCTGTGTGGAATATTCATAAGACTGTACCTCTGTACAGGTACCTCCATATCCTGTGACCTTCTGCATTTGGTCATTGTGTGGCTTATATATGGTTTCTACCTAGAACATAATTAGACAAAGTTCAGAAAAGAGATTCCTGTTGCTAAAATACTGGAACCAGGTTTTCGAGTTCTGTGGAACTCTCTGATTTCTTATTCCTTCAAACTTTCTTATTAGACCTGCAAGCCTTTATAGGGGCAGAAATTTAACAGTATAGATCCCTTAGTCTGGCAGAAAAGTAACTTGGGACAGTTCAGTGGGACAGGAGTTTGCTTTGTTTTGTGATTACACATGTGTTTTAGAGGTTACTTTTTTAATAGGCTGAACCACGTCTTTTAGATTTGAAGTAAAGATACTCTGGGGAAGTGCCTGTGATGCAGTAGAGATCGGACTAAGATCACTGCAGTATTGTGATGATGTAGTTATTTACTTAGTAATAGCAGACTTTTCTGAGTAGTTAGGATTTGAGCACTGCATAACCTTCAAGTAGTTACTGATATGAAGATTTCTTATAGGTATTACTATGGAAAACTAACTTTGATACTTTGGATTATGAAGAAGTTTTTGAACACAATTTTAAAAGAACACATATTGATGATCCTCCTCATCTTCTTGATGTTTACCCAAGGTCACCTCACTTACATGATGAACAACGTGAATCAGTTGAGGTGAGTGCAATAAATTGTCTAATATAGGAAACAAGAAGCTTTTGTGAACACTGTCTGACATTAAATATGTTTTATGTGTACCAGGGAGCTTGTTATTGTTATGTATAATACTTTTGAAGCAACCATAATTTATAAATCCTCATTAGGATTACTAGGCAAGCTGATGCTGGCAGGTTTATGCTGAAATTACTTTCATGCTTCTTCTGTGTCTATACATCTCATTCAAGCAAAACATAGTGATAGTCTGGTTTCTGAAATAACACTGCAAGTGTTGCAGTAGGTATCTGAATTTCCAATGAGCTTCACAATACTCATCAAAATATATCATTATAAGGATTACAAAGTGGTGATATTTCTGAAAGTCAAATAACTTGCTTATCACAAGCTGTCCCTTTTTCCAAGACCTTTAGTATTGTGAGTAGGTCTTGATACCTATCTAAAAGTCTTTCTAGGCTAGCAGTGTGTTTTACAGCACTATGTAGTCTGATTTCCTGATACTTCATTCTTGAGCTTCTTTACTGTCAAACTATCTACTGGCATCTATTGAAAGGGTTGGAAATTAGGGGATCAATGTGCAATGCCAAATGTTCTGCGTCAGTGTTAGGAAAAATCTTGTGTTTGTCAAATAGTCTGAAAGTTATGCTCAATAGGTAAACAGTGCTGTCCCTTCAATTAGGCCATTGTTTGTGCTGTATTTGTGAAGTCCCTGATAGAGCTGGCTGGCTTCTGCATGGCGATTACCTGTATTTTCTTCTCTTTTTTGATAGTGTCCAGGTTCCCTAATGTTGAAGAATTTACCCGAGATAAATCTAGGACAGCAATCAGAACTTTCTGATTACTGTAATAAGCTATCAGAGTACTACAGAAATTCACCATTGCCTGTTTGCCTACATAGAAAACATAGATACTGCTGCCATGGCATTTGTTTCCTGCTCAGAGTTTTAAAACATTGACATTTGGGGATATTGAGGGTTTTTTTGGGTGGGTGGGTGTGTTTGCAATATGAATACATGCAAATGAGTGGTATAGAGATTGAGAACATGTGCTGGAGGAAGAGAACTGTGACGAAATAAGATTTCTTCTATGCCTGGTACTATTGCCAACTCGGATATGAAGCTTTCTAATGCTTAGCATTTTGGTCAGAGCAGGATGACTGCATCCTGTTCTGACCAAAAGCTTCATAAATGAACAAGCTGCATAAACAAACTTCCGTGCTGGACTTTCATATTTGTTGTACAGTAAATGAATGAAGTTCAGTTTCCTGGTACCAGCCTTCAGTATAGTTGGTCAGTGCCAGAACAAACTCAATCACAGCATTTGCCAGCAGATTCAAGCCAGTCTTGCTGGAGCAACATTTTGTTTCAAGACCATTCAAATTGCACCCAGTTATAATATGTACTAAACAAACACAGTGGTTTTATAGCTGCAGGGGTCCATTGTCTTCAGGTTAACATTTCCAGATGTCTCTGGTGTTTACATGCCTGCTAGAGATGTGAATATACTCTAAACCAATTTTTCAAAAATTATTTTTCTTGTTCCTGGATAATTGAGAAGCTCTGGAAAAGCATTGAGGAGTTCAGGCTAAAGTTAAACTAAGGCTAGGAAACCTCATTATCAATACTGAAAAGTCTCATCAGGGAAAGTCAGTAGTTGAATGTCAAAAAAGTCTTTATTAGTTAGCTTTGACAGATTTAACTTGATTTTATGTCTGCATTTATTAATGGCTGCAGCATTTGTAGCAGCTGATAGGCTCCTGGGCTGCTCCGTAGTATGAAAGGGCTCTATGGCTTTGTTATAGCAAAGTTTTGGACTCTTTGTGTTATATTTCTGGTCTGATTTCAGGATTTTAATAAGTGTTGCTGTATTTAGTTTTCTATTAACATCATATTGTCACTAGAATATCTTTCTCTCAAGTAAACATCAAGTATGTTATAATTTTTAAGACAAAACAGTGTCTGGCAGTTTCAACAAAACTCATTATTGGAATATAATATGTTTTCATATTGTAAATTAAATAATATACTAATAGTGATTAGAATCACTTTTGCAGCTAATTTTTAGAATTAATGTAATAGCATAATAATTGAGATGGTGTTAAGGTGAAATCACATTTTGTCACTCCATTTGTCTTTTCTTGTTTTTATGGCTCCTCCTGTCTGTCTCAACTAAAATCTTGGGATTTTTGTTGTGTTGAGGAAGAATAGATCTCACCAACTGGAACAAAGCCATAATTTATACACACAAAACTGGTATCAGGTTACTACCAGCAGTAACATGCTTTAGTTAGCATGCACTAATTCTTAGGTAGGACTGTGCTTGAAATTTTTCAGTACTCCATCTTCTTAACTATTTCCTCTTGTAACTGAAAACAAGCATAATGTCTAGGCCCACTGTGCTGTACTCTGGAGAAGAAAAAAAAGAAAAAAGTGGTTTTGTCCTTTTTCAGTTAAAACATTTTATTTTCTTCACATGCCAACCTCTTTCTAAGCCAGATGAAATACAGATAATTCTAGCATTAGGCTGTTCCACTGCAATCCTACCCTCATTGTTCTATGGCTCATCATGTTTCCAGTATATAAGGGAAAAGAGAAATGGAATCACAGGCATGTCAAAGGGAGCTTCTAGATATCATATATTCTTCCTATCAATGGTACATTGGTTCAGCTGTGTCTGGTTAGGGGGGTCTTGAAGAGGTTTGGAGATTCCCCTATCTCTCTGTGTGATCTATTCCACAGCAGCATAGCAGTTGTAATGACAGTGTTTTCCTATCATCTCATCTGCACCTCAGATAACATACAGAACTGCTTCCTTTCTTATTTTCTTCCTTTCTCATCATATTTCTAGGTGACCATGGTAAGATAATTCATCTTAACTAAACAGAAGTAACAGTATTCTATGAGACTTGGTAACATATACAAGAGATACAGGCAGGCAGAGGAGGCAGTTTGGAGGTGGGATTTTTCAAAGTATCAGTCACTGTTAAGGTTTGCTACAATACAAGCCACTACAATGTCATCTAAATGCTTGAGATGTGTTGTAATACATTGCCTTGAGTTATGCTCAGCTGGTTTAGTCACCTCTACAACAGGACTGAAGAGGGATTGCCTTAGGATAAAATTAAAGGTGTTAGAATACAAAAAGTTCAACAGATGTACAGGCAAAACTCAAGAGGAAAGTAATTTGCCCCCTATTTTTAAGAATTCCTAATGTTTCAACCTTTCCTTTGTTTATTTATTTATTTATTTTTACTGCTTTTGGTTGACTATTGCTTCTCTATCCCTGCTTGTCTCAGTGTGGTGAAGTCCCTGTAGTTCCAGAATGATATTCTGGGTGAATAGTATACACAAAAATGGAGCTGGCTTAGAATTTATTCAGCTGGGATCAGAGGCACAGTTGCAATGTTTTCACACATCACCTGTTGGAAATGCTGTTTTGAATAAAGCAGCTGGCACAAAGGCACTAAGAATTGCAGGTATCATCTGGTGTTTTGTCTTCAGGATAGTGACAGAAAGATGAAGCTTGAGTGTATTTTGCTTTTTCTGATTACTTTTTCTTATTCATTCTTCAAAGCTATACATTGAACCAGTAAAATTTCAGATATCTTCCCTATTTTATTTTCTCTCTACCTACCTAATTTTGAGGCATAATTAACTTTTACAAGAAAATCATTAGTTGTGTCTTCTCCTCAGCCCAGTAGCCTGCATTTTAATGCATTGTTGAATTTCATGTTCTTGAGTTGTAAAATTTTATAATTGTTCTCCCACTGCACTTATCGATGTGATTCTTGAATATTCGAGTAAGTAGGGTTTTAATGCTTATAATAATTTTAATTTTTCAGAAAACTTGGAAATGTAAATAAATTATTTGTTCTCTAAAGGCGCCTATTTTTTTCTGTTGGTGACAGAGATAATCTTAGGTGATTACCAGCTCAAACACAGGTGTCTAGCAGTATGTCTAAATTTAGCTGAGATAAATCCCAGTTGGTGTCTCTGTTTGACATAAGGACCTTGTGGAGTTATTTGAAAATAATAGTTTAATCAGTTATGCAATTTTAGTGAAATATACTAAAAACTGCATTCCACTTGGTGAGAATTTATTTCTGAATTTGCCATGTTTGTATGTAATTAACCTTTCATGTGCTAAAGACTTCTTTAAAATAAATTAATTTCTTTTAAAACAGCTTTGAGGTTTGAACATATTAAGGTGCATAGAGTTTATCTCTTGTGCACAAAGAGCTTTTATTGATGTAATTTTCAGTGTATTTTCAGTTGTAAATATTTTCTCAGGTGAAGGAAATTCAAATATACACTAGGTGGCAGTAGAAAAAAGATTATATGGCTTGCTTGGTTTGAGGGCCCCAGTCTAGAACAAAGAACAGTGCTTAGTCAAATTGAAAGCTAATTTTCTCTTGTTGTGTTTGGGGAGACTATTTCACAAGTAGCTAAATCACTTTTCTAAGAAATGCTTTGTGAGTCATTTAAAACTTCCTCTTTTAATTTTATTAACTTTATTTTTCTAATTCACGAAAGATTCTATAGAAACCTTCCCTTCAAATATATTTTATTGTGCTATGGATCAAAATGTGATAATTGTAAATTGTATTATCATATTAGAAGATTATATTGAAAATATTTAGGTATCAGTTTACCAGGTAATTAAAGCAAGGCTTTGAAAGAGTGTTTTTGAAAACCTGTAATACGTGACAGTGCTCCCTACCTTGCATTTTAGTGTTCTGGTTTTTCTGTCTTGTTTCTTAAAGTTAAGTCTTTTCAAAGTCTTATTTTGAAGATTTCCCTTGGTAAGATTATTTTACAGCTAACCACATCACCTTGTCAGGAATTGTCAAGTAATTTGAAACTTTTACATTTAGCTTCATTCCCTTAACTTATTCATTTTTAGTGCAATATTAAACACTAATATTTGTATGAAGGACTTAGATACAGCCTTTATATTTTTGTGCATTTTAAACACCTTTTGGATGCTATTTCTGACTACTTGCTTAATAATTTAATATTTAATTATTGTAGTATGGCTGATGACAGTTCCTCCATCCCCAGTCAGTGTTTACAGTGGCCTCATCCTCCCCTTATCACTGGTAAAGCAATAAGCAGAAGTATACTCAGAGGAACTTTCATTCTAGCTCCAGGATGTGACACTTCTACAAAAAGAACTGCATGCTACAGCATGTTAGACAGAAGTAAAGGCAGTTTGTTTTATAAGAGAAGTGGATTAAAAGATAGAAAAATATTTTGTTTGTGACAGCAGTAGGGTGTTATAAGAACATTTTTCTAAACTTAATACCATGTATTTACTTACCAACCTGTATCAAGAATTTAACTCATTCTGCAATATTTCTATGTATGCAACAAAGAGATAGTATCTCAAAGAAGATGTTGTCCATTTTGTTGTCAAGTGTAAGAATCACTTTCACTTTGAATAATCAGGTAATATCTGTTTTTAAATGTTTCTTTACCTTCTAGCTTGCTAGGAAACTTTGTCCATCTTCTTCCACTTGTATTTACTGAGGGAGATCTTGCTTCTATTAATTTTAACCTAAATTTCTGCATCTAAGTTATGGAAATCTAAATAAACTGAATGAAAAGTCTTCAGGCAGTACAAGGTGTTGCTGCCCTCCTTCCCTGACTATTAATTCCAGATATAAATTGTATTCTAGCTACTTAACAAACACGTCTCTGACCTAAAGGTCTTTATACCAATGTATGGACATCAGAGATTGTTCCTTGTGGAAATAGCACTGAAGCAATTACTGAGTGAGCAGCTCTGGCTGAGCCAGAGTTTTGACAGTCTTCAGGTGAAATAGTAGGATCTTCTTCTTAAGAAGTCAAAATAAAATCACCCTTGTAGCTAAGTAACTTTCAGTGACTAAACTTAACCCTGTCACTAGGCAAGTGTGAGCTTTGAGGGTTCTGGGACTTTTTTTTAATCTTTGAATAAGGTGATTGGAATTAATACTGTCTCTGGATTACTGATGATATTGCATCAGACTTCTTGGTGATTTGAAAGCCATCAAGTCTTTCTGTAAATTTTGCCAGTTCATAAAATATTAAGAATAGTACTTCCATGCATCATTCTGAGAAGGCAAACATCTTAGGCTGTGATACACCTAGATAATATAGTGCTAGAGATAATATGCATACAGATTTTTATGGGGAGGTTATTCTCATCCTTAGGTGAAACCATAAGCTTTCTCAAATTTCATATTCTCTGATACTTTCTTAATGATTCACTTTCAGGAAAGGACATTAGCAAAATACTGCTAAAGTTATAGAATAACTCTTATAGCCAAAAATAAAATCAAGTAGTAACTGATATTTAGAGCAAAATTGCAGATACTGTGATGACATTTCTGTCATCTGTCATTCTATCTGATCAATCAGCCTCTGACGTTGTCCCAGTATAAAGCAGTTTTTCCTGTGGTATCAGGAGCAACATCTTTTGTCTTTGATCTGTTACCTTATTACAGACTTCAGTGTTACCTACTACCTATTTTCCTCAGAAGTACTTTCAAAATTATTTTGGCAATCAGAGTTGGTACAGAAGAAGTCAGCATATCGACAGTCTGTTAGTAATGGATGACTTAAGGAACTTGAATAGGGATTGGGAAACAATTGATCTGGGCTGCTGTGTGTGTTCTCACTTTTTATTTCACTCTTATTTCCTTTTCTCTGTTGGTGCTGAAATAACGATATAATTTATTTTCAACAGGTCAACCCTACCTTTGATGTGCCTGATATAGAAACACCTGACCCAGTTATCATCGATATTAGAACATCTTCACGTATCAGTACTCCTGTAAGTTGCTTTAAAAAAAAAAAAAAAAAAAAAGAGGTAAGGTATGGCTAACATGTTCTGGAAATGTGCTTTTACTGTCCATATGAATGAAATAGATTTTTTAGCAATTGTCGAGTGCTCAGAGCTCAATATCCTAAATTCTCAACTTAAACTTTGTCACACTTCCAAGTCTAACCAGAAGATGGTGTAATAGCAAAGCTTTCATTTTATAGCTGCAATTTTACCACTATACTAAGCACAAATTCTATTTATAAGCCCATGCTAAGTACATCTAAATATTACTGCTAAAATTCCTGGCTTATTCTCAAACACTTTTTGTAACTCTCCCTTTAATCTGCAAGTAATGGTAACACTAAAGAATCATTGTTTCACCGATACAATTTTAAAAGTGATGTTTTATTATTTCTCCTTTTAAGGCATTTAATAGTTCCTTAGCTGGAAAAAAAAAAAAAAAAGTAATACATTTGAAGACAGAGTGATAGGATTAGAGTCTGCTAGTGTTGGCTTTACATATGACATTGGTATGGCATGTGGGAGGAGAGGAAGGCAATGTTTTAGTGGCAGTTTCGTGGGAGGAGAAATGTGCTCTCCTGATATGAAATCTAAAAGACATGCTGTTCTAGAATTAGGTTAAAATGAGAAATTTTCTTTTAGCTCTGAATCTGTTCCTGTGAATGCACAAATTGTGTCTTGAGCAATTTTAGTTACCATAAAAAGTTTGTGTGGTTGAAGGGTTAATACTTGCAAATAGGCAGCAGGTGTGGTTTCTGCTGTTCTATTTTGTCATGAATGCTTTATGAAAGCTATGTTGTGAAGGTACTATGTAAAATTCTTTAAGATCATTTTTGAAGATCATGATGCACAGGTTGATGAGAAACCTTTGCTTCAAAACAAATAATCATATAACTTATATTTGAGAGGTGATAATATTATATATTTTAAGGTTTAGCTGTTGTCATGTTTTCATAATGGAAATGTGGTTCTTTGTAGACTTACAGGCATCTTTTTAGTAGGCTTCACAGACAGTGGATTGTGGTAGATATAATTTGACTGCCTATCACTTTTAAGTACTCTGTGTTCATTACTTACTCTGCCCATCACAGAGTTCAAATGTATGATTGCACTGTAATTCTTTATTACATACCTACAAATCACTTAGTCTCCATTAATTCTTTTGCTATGAAAGCAGCTTATAAAACTTTATACCCAGAACTCAGAGGAGTACATTGACCCAAGAAGTACGGCATTTTTTTGACTGCTCTCTGTCTGGCTTTACAATCTTCAATATAAAAATGTTACTTCAGAATTTAATCTTTTTGACTGTGTCAGTAATCACTATTTTTTTTTCACCCCCAGCATCTCAATCTACCAGTTATTATTGGTTCTCACCAATGTTGCATTTCAGCATTCCCCATCTGCCTCTTTTTCCATCTAGAAAAACATTTCTATAACCTTTTTACTTGGATTGTAGCATTAAGGGTAACTGTCCTGTTCAACACAAGTTAACCCTAACCCTTCCACTGTTCACACAAATTCAGGAATCATTTGCATGTTTTCTTTGCCACTAATATCTGTCTTCTCCCATAGTGAATAACATTCTCCAACTTTGCCAACCAATCTGACCCTCCCTACTTTCTAATGTCAGCTCATCCTTTAGTATCACCTTCCTGTCCAGCGTCTGTCTACCACATTACCAGCCTCTGTAATTTGTGGAATTATCACCTGTTTCTTAATCAGACCAGCCACCTAGACTCTTTGTGTCTTGTTTCTAGAGGGTTCTGGATCTCAGTAACTTGGACCTTTTTATCTGAAGCTTTCTCAGTTTCCCTAATGTATGGATACTCTGTCTAGTGGAGGCTTGATGTGTTCTTCATAAGAAACAAGGAGAAAAGGGCAGATGCTGCCTTTATTTCTATCACACCTTCACTGACAGATTTTCTCTTGTTCCAGTTTGTCCTCAATTGAATGATACTACTTTTGTGCATTATTTGTACTTTTTTTCTTAGTTCTTTTTCAGCTTGAGGTTGCCATCCTCTAATTCTAGTCTAATTCATCATCCTACCTCATACATATCTCTGATTCCAGCCCCAATGGGTTGTTCTTTTTCTACTGGTTATCAAAGACAATATCACTGTACATTTTTTTCCCCTGCAAACATTTCAAGACCCATTTTAAACCTGTTTATAGCTTTTTGGCACTGCTTCTACTGAAAGAACGCTGTTCTAATAACAAAAATTTTTGATCAGATTGTCAGGTTAATTTACATGTGTTGTATCTATACCTACTTATTCTTTTAAGGCTCTGCCTTAAGGAGTTCTTCTGCCCTTCTGACATGTGCAGAGAGAAAAATGCAGTCTGCATTTGGGTATCTGTATGTATTCTTGTTCAATGTGTTTATCACACATGTAACACAGAAGGATCTTAAGGGTTATTTACAAAACATATTGTCAAGTCCCTAGACCACTGGAAGTAGCTGATCAACATGTGTACTTCAGTTTTCTGCTGAAGGAGAGAGATACTTGAGACAGTGATCCACAAAAACGCGAGTCTTTAAATACAGCCTTTCTCTGGGGTGAGTAACAGCACTGAAACTTCTGTAGGATCTCTGGTGAGTTTCTTAAAGCTCCCTGAAATGCCTTCAGGAAGATTGAAAGTCTATGCAAAATCTTGTAATGTTTCATTGAATAATTACCAAAATTCCTGACAGTAGGTGGTCAAAAACTTCTATAGGTCTTAGTCTAATCCAGGAGAAAGGACAGTAGGAGAAAGTGCTCTTCTTATTGAGAGTCTTTTCTTCAGCTTGAATTGTGTGTTCTCCTACTCCTTTATGGGAAATATATTATTACTGCCCCTGAGATGGTTTGTGACAAAGCAAAAAGGTTTTTTCTTTTCCTTCCTTCTTTGAAGATTTGTTAATGAAAGTGGTATAGTATTGGTTGAGAGGGATGTCTGGAGTCATTTCATCTAACCTTCCCCTTAAAGCAAGGCCAGCTTGGAACAGGTTCTTATAAGCCTTGTCCAGTTCATTTGTTAATAATGTGTAAGGATAGAGATTCCACCACCTTTCTGGGCAGCTTGCTTTAATGTTTGGTTGACAAAAATATTTTTTTTCATAATATGTAACTAGAATATCATATGTTCCAACATATCTGTTGCCTTCAATTCACAGTGGTCCTCTAATTTGTGTGTGTCTGTCTTCTTTCTATCTACCCATTAGATATCTGAGATGGCAGCAAGATCTCCCTGTACCTTTTCTTCCAGAGAACAAACCTGCTTCTCTGCCTTTTCTCGATATCATGTTCCAGCCCCTTTGTTATTTTGTTCACTCTCGACTTGCTCCAGGATGTCAGTGTCTATCTGGGACCAAGAAGCCCAAAAGTGGACACACTACTCTAGATAATTATGGTGCAGCAAAGTATCACCATCATCTGTTCTTGACAACTGTCTGCCTAGAGAAGATTTCAAAAACAAATATTTAAAAATATAACAATCGATTCTTTATTGTGAATTTAAAATATATATTTAGATATTTTCTTAACAGTTCATTTATTTTGAGCTGTAGCTGTCTAAGAAAATACTAGTATTATCTCTTCCTCCTACTTCTCCTCTTTTCAAGGAATTTTAATTTCTTGCTTCATCAAAACCAACAATCCATCACAGCTTCCAGACTTAAAATGGCTGCTTTTATGTTTTGGTTTTCTTAAATTTAGTTGTATTTCCTTGCTTCAGAGTTTAAGCTAAGACAGGCAGATATGAATGTTCTTACAGGGATTTTGCTAAAAACACATTATTAAACTGCCTGAATTGTAAACATCTTATCTTTTCAGCTTCTTTTCTAGCTTAGTACTAAGGTCAGTTGTTTTGAACATGGTGAATGAAAAATCTTTTTTCATCTAAAGTTCATACTGATGCAACTTTTTTTGTAAACTCAGTGAAGGGAGTATGATCCTTGTGTCAGTGGAAAAATTTCAGTGAAATCTTCAGTATGGAGTTGCTTTCTTTTGAACTACAATTACAAAGCCATTAAGAATTCCTGTGTATTATTATGGTTAGGAAATAGCTTTGGATTTGATGATTCATTTATTCAGTTCTCCTGTGTATTATTGAAAGCACTGTAGAAATTAGCTGTGAATGCCTAACAAACTGGTACTTGTGTAATGTCCTGACTTTTTCAATGATAAGAGTTCTCATATGTTGCAGTTACTAGAAATTAGGTGTGTTCTAGCCTTTTGTGCTCTGAAAATATTCACTAAATTGGGGTCAAATCTGGGGGCTGGGGGTGGTGCTTCTTTCTCCTTTCTATTTCATTGAAGACTCGGAAAGCATTAATGCCTCTCTCCCACTCCTGCTCCATGTGTCAAGCAACTTAACATTGCCTTTGTTTTCTGAACTATTGAAAAGGAAAAATTGGAAGTTTTGTTTCTCTTTGGGACTACTTTCTGTTTCATCCTTCAGTTTTAGTTTTAGTCATGAGAGAGGTTGGGCCTTTTCAATTCTGCAAGGCAATACACTGGTAACCTCCGGTCCCTGATAAGCTGTTAGAAACAAGGGAAAGTTGATGGTGTCTCTGTACTTTTTACTAACAGAAGCAGGAAATCACTGTAGAGGCTCTCTAATGTTTCATCCCCTGACCTTGCTCATGTAAACAGGATTTGGAGGAAGCAAAGCAATGTACTGTAATCTGGAAGTCAGAATGTCTGTGCTAGCTGGGAGATGTTTGCTGTTCTTTCTCTTCCAGTGCCATTTAACACTAAAACCAAGACATTCTTATTGTTCATTTACAGTACAACTCCTGCAAAGTTAAGACTTGGTTAATTACTGAGTAAGGAAAGATAAGGATTGTTTCTGTTTGGAGCAAAAAGAACATATTAAGTTTTAAAATAGAAAGTTTGTGTACTGCATTTGTAGTAGGTGTCTTGAGGCAAAAAGTAGAAGTATCTGTACTCTCAATTTGTTCAGTACACATCGCTTTCGCAGTTAGTGTTTCAGGGTTTAGGTGT